GGGGTTGGGTAACACAACCGGGATTGCAGAGGATGGTTTGTTAAGTTTCAGGCCAGTCATGGCTTACATGTCAATTGGCCCGGGATTGCAGAGGCAGTCATACATGCTGCCCAAGGTCAATCATAGATTGCACTTCAACTCTCAAGTCTGGCAAATCCCCCGGAAAATTGCTTTTTCCTGAGTTTCCCAAAGGAAACTTGACACTTGGTGGGGTCCGTTTTCCGGGGCAAACCCAAGTGGAAAATTGGCACTCAAGCCAATCAACTCAATACTCAATGTCAAGTTGCTTTTTCTTGCTAAGCGAGGTTGCGAAAAGCAACCAGAGTTGCAAGATTCTTTGGTAGAAACAGCTTTGCCCAGTCGGCGAACGCAGGGGTAAACGATCACTCAAACTCATTTGTGGCGATTTAGCTTCACTGCTTCCTGAGCTTTGCCCTTTTCACTGGCTTCCTGCCTCCCCAAGTTTGCCATTTACCTAGGCCTTGCCTCCAAGCTCTGCATGGGTACATGCGCAATCGATGTCCATCTTCGCGTTTGGCTTGCTGTGGTCTTGTGCTTGGGATCGGGCGCCGCGTTCTGGCTCCAAAGGGTTGTAGTTGCATCTTCTCCTGCAGCAACGCAGCGCAGCGAGCAGCGAGCAGGGCACAAGACTGTGAGGCGCGTATTGCAGGCCCAGAGTTGGCTTGCGAGCGCCGGAAAAAAACAAAGGTAGTCAAACCTGCTGCTTTAACGCAGCTCTTTGCCGAAGGTGGTGGTTGCGCCTTGCTGTAAAAATGATTGTTTAAGGGCACCACGCCCGGCGGTCGAACATAACACAGCACCTCGTGACACGTGTCAAGGCCAGATCCAATATATGAAGTTCTTCCAGCGCTTCTGGAAAGCAATTTTTTCAGCAACGCAGGATAAGAGAAGCTTGCCGCAAAATTTTGCTTCTGTCACAGGTGGGATTTTGCTTAATTTCCACAGCGGGTCCGGCTGGGTCATATTGCGAACACGGTTCAGTCACCCTGCAAGTTGGCGTCAGATTTGTGCCGCGACACTGCTGCAGCGTCATTGGCAAAAACAGGATCAATGGGAGATTTTAGCGCCGGCTTCCTTTCAATTACCAATGGAAGGAAACTGTTATACTTTTCCTATTCTTTTGTGAATCTCACACCAAGCGGGCGCACGGCGCCATATCGATCCAGATTTTGTTTCAACGACGTGGGGGCCATGCTGCCGGAAAAAGACATGTGTTTCCGATCCTGGTGGGGCCCAAGAAAACATATACGAGGGAAGGTAATTCAGATTTTGCGTCAGGCTTCACACAATCAGAAAGATTCTTTGTTCCTGGTGTTCCGGGGTTTGCTTTGCATCTGGGGTTTTGTTTTTCCAAGGCCATTTCCAAAACAAAGCTTCAGGAGCTAGCACCACAATAGATGAAGGGATGCAACAGTTGGCTGCTATGCCAGCAGCAACATTGTGCCATGCTATCTGCTGTGCCATCAAAGCAAGCTGGTATCAATGCGAGCAGCATTGTCAGCAGCAACATTGTGCCAATGCTACCTGCTGTGCCAGCAAAGCAAGCTGGTACCAATGCAAGCAGCGTTGTCAGCAGCAACATTGTGCCAATGCTAGCAGTTTTGCCAGCTGTATTTTTGTTGCCACAAATTCTTGGGCCAACTATAACTATATAGTATTATAGTATAAGTAAAAATTTCGTAGCACATATCTTTATCACATATATAGTTTATTTACGTGTAGTATATTTAGACATGTATTGCGCCCCCCAATTTTTATCACCGCAATCTTGTATCACTGCGTTTCTTTAGCATCGCGTTTCACATCAAACCCACAAGACAGATGCCCAACCTAACTTCAGACCAGCACAACTGTAGCAAACAGATGCGTTTTTTTTCCTCAACGGGCTGTTGCTCGTCATACCGCGTCACTTTCCAAGCCGGAAGCTAAACACTCGATCCTCCTGCAGCCGAATATCAAAAACAGTGATCGCAATCGACCACCCGTTTAAGCTTCTATGTTCGGACTTGCTAACTACGTACCGCAGCTCTTCTTCATAAACAATTTCGCAGCCAGGTACCTTGAGAACTTTGTTTTGATAGTACCACTTCAAATTTTGTTGGATTGATTCATCCTCAACATCCGCAAGAGGGGCCCAAGACTCAGTTGGAACGGAACTGTATTCATACTTCTCAGCCGGTAGGCTTCCACCCGTCCATTCATCTATGCCTCAGTTTGATTTGTTTTTTTGATTAAAGTGTATCCATTTGAGTCACTACCTGAATGTTGTAGGAAGCGCTCTGAAATAATGCTGAATTGAAGCAAGGCACCAAGCCAAAAAAGCGTAGCCATATCACGCGTAGACTTGGACAGTGTGTTTTCTCTGTGACAAAAAACGGCAGCACATCAAACTGCGTATATATATAATGTTGACCATCATGTTTGAAAGGTACCGCTGAACTTGTGCAAATAATACTGTTCCAATTTTTTCTGGTGGCGAGCCCGACTCATCAAGTTCAACTCTGGGTGGAAGATGCATGAAGATGCGCTTATGACTCTTCAGGAGTGCACTCAACAAAATGGTATCATAGTCTTTCGCGGTGTGTGGGTTGTTACTTGATTTTATTTCACATACGCATCAAAATGCATCAAAATGCCATAAGGTGTCCAGCCTCCCATTCAGCTAATTGCCATTCGAATTGGCCCTCACAGAGCTTCGGCGCAGTAAAGCAAGCACCTGCCAGGTTGCAAAATCAAGCCAAGAAGGTATGATATTATTCAGATAAAATGATATTCTATCATTACATATATATATATAGATTTATACGTAGATAGTTAGGATAGACCAACAGATAGATAGATAGTACAGATATATAGATCGTCGACAACAAGTTTGGATGTTAAAGTTTTGTTAGACACAATGTTGAAAGCGTCGCTGTGGGCTGGTGAACACTTGTCAAGATATGTCAAGATCTACATAAATACATGTTTTTGAAAGTTTCCACAAAGATAGTGGTGTGGGGTGAATGAGTGGTTTGAGAAAATCCTTTGAACGTGGAGATTAAGAGACATGATTTTAAACTGAAAGCTGGCCTTAGGAATTGGTAATTTCGTCATCTTCAGGGGGCTCTTCCTCGCCCGCTTCCTCTGCATCGATCATGTCAAGGGCTGTGTCATCAGCGGCTTCATCAACATCAGGGGCCTCCTTGTAACTCTTGATCATGGCCTCCTGATCGGGATTTCACGCAGAACATATGGAATAAACATATGGAGTTTCAGGCCATGAAACTTCATGAAACTGCATGATTTTTGAAAATCATTTGACCATCCCATCAACCATAAATTAAAGATAAAGCCCTGTGCAATCAGGCCACAGACAAATCTCGAGCTTTGGACACGTCCCCTTCGGTGCGCACCAATTCAGCCTTCACAGCATCCTGAGATCAACATGACAATCATTTTGCAATGCCAGGCATTTGAATCTCAATGGATGACTGGATTGAACGAGTCATAAACATATAAACTAACTATAAAAAAACAAGCATCCAATAGATTTCATTTTCATGTTGATTTAAAGTTTCAACAGGCCGATCCCCCCCGATGCCGTTGCGCTGCAAGCATCAGCGATGGTGGACATGACGTCCACATTGAGGCCATCAACCGGCTTCACCTGGGATGGGTTGGGATTCACCCCAGTAAGATGTTTCATTTTGAAATTGGACTGATCATGACTGATTTCATTTGACAATATTTGAGGCATTATAAGACCAGTCACGGTGAGCGCTTCATGCATGGCACCGTCGTCGCCACGGACTTTGAACCCCCACCGCCCATTTTTATACATGTACTTGTACACAGCAAAGGGCTTTGACTTGGCCTCTTTGGAGGCAGCTGGTCGTTTCTTCTGGGCAATGTTTGCACTCGGTTTTTTTTTGGGGACAATCTCCTCTTCCTCCTCCTCCTCTGGCGTATCCTCAGTTGGTTCCTCTACTGGGGTGGGTGTCTCAGTCTTCTGCTTGCTTTCGCCCGACTTTTCTACTGACTTTGCTGCTGGCTTCTTTGTTGCCGTTGGTTTCTTCTTTGCTGCCGTTTTTGTAACTGCCGTTGGTTTCTTCGGTTCCGCTTCTTTGCTTTTGGAGGAAGCTGCTCCCTTGGACTTCGCAGCTGCCTTTGTTTTTGCTTTTGCTTTTGCACTTGGTGGGGAGGACGCTGCTGCAGTGTTGCTCGCAGCTTCAGCATCTGACAACTCATCAACAGATGCAAGCACCATTGCTGCTGCTATAAAGGACTGGAGTCCATGCATTTTCGCGTCTTGATCTTGGAAAAAACTGATCATAAAGATAGGCAATGCATTTGCATATGAGTTCGATTCAGAGTTCAGAGACTTGAAGGAAAACCTATTTGATTGAACAATGGATTCAACCTGAACGTAGCTGAGAGTAAGGTAACTGCCACATTTTGCACGGCTGGTTTCAAGATGTATCCAATGTCACATCACCGGTCCGTGATGATAGCAAACCCAAAGAAGCAAGTGGCCTTAGAATTGCCACTTCTGAGTCAAAACATTAGTGCATCTACGTTGGACAGGCGGCAGGGAACACAAAATTGGAGTATGAAATTGGAGTATCAAAATTGGAGTACATACATATACCATCAACCAATTTTGAAATGGCAAATATATAGCTTTGCTGTGAGGCATCGATTCCTGTAGCCACCATCCAGAACCAGTAGCCTACGCACTGAAAACCCGACTCATCTCACTAGTTCACTTCAGCTTCAAAGCAGAAGAAGCAGCGATGCTCAGCTGCGCCAAGCTAAAGTACTTTGGCTTGACCGGGGTCAGGTTGCACGGCACACTCTCTCCAATCTTCACCTGCCAGGTGAGCATTGGTGTGACGGTGTGATCAGCTTTCACTAGCCTTTGACCCTCGATGGTTGAGCGTGGGAGGAGTTGGTGGGAAAATGGGTTTTGTACCACCACTTGTTGGTTTCAACATGGTTCAAGTGATGAACTTTTTTTTGGAACATGGGGCCTCCCATACGACATCGCAGTGTGGTGCCCTTGGCATTTGGTTGTACTTTCCATTGAATAGAGCCCCAAATTGAACTCCCCTCAGAGAGCACTTGTCGTCGGACGGCTGAAGCTCCCTCGGCTTGAATGCATTCACTTTGGGAGCAGGTTGAATCACGTAGCGGAACGACATGGGCAGTTGACTTCCATCCGCAGTCACCTGCAAGGGATTTGAAGGGATATAATATCATTGTTAGTGCATGAATCATTCCCTGGGTAATATGATGTGGGTAAGCTCTTTAACATGGACACAAATTCAAACCTTTATATATAGTATTTTCACCCCTGGCCTTCATTTTTGGAGTGATTCCATGATCTACCATTCGCAGCTCTGTGACCCCTCGAGTTCTGGTCACATCGCACACAGCCTCTGCAATGCTTTGCAGCTTCTTTTCACCAGTGCCAGAAACTGGAAGCAGGCAAACAAGGGTGCGATCATCCGTGATATGCCACACAATGGATGTCGATTGGGACCCATGTTGATCTAGCAGGGGCAAGGTTCTGACTGACAATTGTGACTTCATCTTTTTAAACAACAGGCCATTGAAATTTGAAATTGAAACTTAAAACCGTTTTTTAAGTTTAAAAACCAGGTCCTGCATTGATCTCCGCGTATGCTCCAGTGTTGAAGCCGAAAAGTTCTCCGGCCGGAAGATCGATTTTGTTCTCAGTCCGGTTCACAATCCAAATGGACCCCAAGCTTGTCAGCACCACTTGCAGATTGGGCTCTCGGGCGATGGTTGCACACCCTTCCTGCCTCAGAATGTAATGGTTGATTTTAAAAATACTGCTGAGGGATGCTGAGGGGAACATATTGAGATAAAATACCAGAACACATAAAACCTTAAGATAATTAAACAAAATGGATGGTGCGTATTGTTCGCATCAAAGTCAGCCACAGAAATCACCGCAAGATTCATGGACTTTCGAAAGTTCACCGGGGGGTTGTTGTCCCACTGCGGGCTGGCCATAGTCCTGCTCTGGGTGGCTGCTGAGGAACTGGTCGAGTCCATCATTGCCTGGAGCGCCTTCTGCGTGGTGGTATCTTGGCCGATCTTCTCCTCAAGCTTCTTGAGAGGGTCCTGGTGGGAGAAAGCGAACTTCTGCTGCACCATCTCAGGAATCCTGAGTGCACTCCCCAAATGGATGTTTTTCTTGTGGACTTTCATGCATGAAAAATCGATACCATAAACTACGAATCCGTATGAAAATGTAATACTAATCTTTTTGATGTACTCTAGGTGTATCTATATATATATAAATATACTTGTAAATAAATATATATATATATAATATATATTATAATATATGTTTGTATGTGATTTCATCGTGAAACAGTCTTACCAGCATGAGGGGTGATTCCCACGAGCCAAGTGACAAAACGATACAGCGTATATCTGAAAATAAAAAACTGTTCAAACACTGCGTGGAATTTCATGATACTGGATTTAACATGCAAAGGAAGTGGCTTGATTGCCCCATCATTGACGGTCAGGCATTCCAGGGTAGGCTGTGGGAGAGAAAAAGGTTCAGAAGCACGAGCTGCTGGGCCAGATTCCTCCGCTCTGTCCCACCATTGCGAGAGAACTCGCCCTGTGATCAAGTCTCGGGCCTGGTCCATCAAATGACCATCGCTGTCATGGTACACCGACAAAAAGTGAAGGTCCCATTTTCCCCCACTTTCTTCTCCCATCAAAAAAGCTCGTTGGATCTCCAACGCCGCTTGGGACCATTCGGAGAATCTGGCACCAGGGATAACCGGGATAACCATCCAGGGGAATTTTCTTACTTTCTACTCAATTTTTTTCAAACTGAACTTCAGTAAAATTTAGGAACATGCTTTTAGATGATAACGATATGGCCTGGATGGATTCATGTCCACCACCAACACCTTCTGACCATTCTGCTCATGCATGCCCTCGAGCAGCTGGAGCAGCACCTCTTTTGTAGCTGAGATCCCCCTTTGCTGTACCTTGCTGATCATAGAGTGGGAAAAACAATGACCCTTAATTCATAATTGGGATATCCATATGATGTGGATTTTGAATGTGAAATCTGAATGTTAAATCCCAGAAACCCGAAAGTGTGGTGCGAGTGCACGATCAGGGTCAGGGTTCTGTAGGTCAGTGACACGGCTTCGTTCGATGCCGCTCACCGATCCCAGCAAGGCACGAGACTTCGTGAAGGCAATTGCACTGTGATTGCCCGAGACCCCGGCCAGACCTGGTGGGCTGGAAAGGATGAGGGCTGATAAATTACATAAAACCATCCCAAAGTCAGATAATTGTTTCAATGTGTTTTTGATGGGTTTGATGGGCAAAAAAAAGAAAATATGGTGAATGAAGCCAAAAAACACTGCTGAGATTTTTTCCGTCTATCTCCTTGGTGCTGGGGATCTGTGAAGTTCAGGGCAATCTCGTACACATCCATTGCCCTGCATCAATTGGACAATCCAAAGATCACCAATACTTGTTTTTTTATTTCCAGGGTATACACATTCAAGATATTGGGTGGGAAATGAACGACACATACTTTAATTCCAAATCATGGCACCCAATGACTTTGTCCTCCAACAGTCTGCGATGCCGCAATGTTGCCTGTTTGGCTGCACTGGAGTGCCACTGCGGCAACAGCCAAAAGGTCAACGTGTTGGCATTGCCTGATGCCACTCCCTGGGCCAAGGTCACAGACTCATCGATCGCCAAAGCTCCTGAGCAGGTGCATGGGGCAAACGGGGAAGATGACAGAGAGTTAAACCAGTAAATCCCAAGGGGGAAGGAAATATTTGAGGGAACCGTTGAAACCATTTGAAATCATTGAATATCATCTCAGGGACGCGTTGGCCAGAGCGTGAAATCTCCCACAAGGATTGTCAGCCTGATGGCTCAACATCAGCTCGTTGTTAAGGTCAAGTAAAACATATATGGTCACGTAATGATTGGTTGAACACTTGTTTGCTTCCAAAAGCCTACATGAATCAATCAGCTGAGAAACCCCTGGTTTCCATTTTGACCTTGCTGTTGAACAATGGCAGCGTGAGCAAGCACCTGCGATGAGACCCTCATGAATTGATGCTTCTTGCCAATGAACTCGTCCACAGCAGTCCGGCCCCGGTGATACCGGTCGTTGATGTGTTTGTAGTCCATGGCCGCCTCTCAGGGGGTGGATAATGCATTCTGAAGGTTAGATGAACTGAATGGGGTGTTTTGGATGTCCCAAACCTGCTTGGCTGCGTAGATCTCAAACTGTTGGCTCCACTCCTGCAGCTTTGCCAAGTCACTCTCACATTGAAGCTCCGTTTGCTGCCATGTGGTGTTCAGCAACTGGGCGGAAAGCCTGGATCGAACATTGGAATCCATGGGAACGTAGGCTCATGATGCCTCATGCTTATTCTACAATACCACCCTCAAAAAAAAGCATCTAGAAAATATTGGCCAATCAATGATAACGAAGGGCTGTTCTGCTCGCTGATGGGTCTGCTTTTCCACCTGAAGGGATGGTTGAGAAGGGTGACAACTTTTGTTGTGACCTTTGGTAATTGAGATAGAAACATAATGTTTAAACCCCGTATGAACCACACCTGTTCCTGATACCGTTTCAAAGGCTGCATGAAGATCCCAACTCGCCCCACATCTGCAGGCGGCACAGTGGATTCCAGCATCTGAATGATGTCAGAATCGGCATGCCGAAGCTCGAACCTTGAGGCGACGAGAGGGACTGAGTTGAATACTGGGGGAAATCCACTAAAGATATGATATATTTTAAAGTGAATCTGGGTAGTGGGAAAGTCGGAATAAACAATGGACCAAGAGGTTATTGACTAGGAACGCTTTGTGAATCTCCGGCAGCACAGAATTGGCAAACTTCTGGGGCACTAGGTTCTGAAACTGCTCCAAGCAAGCCAGGAATCCGCCACATACCCGCTGCAGTTGGGTCTTGGTAGTTTCGAAATCTACACCAGAAAAAAAGGTTGTTGAATTGAGAGGGCTTTCCCAAATAGGGATAAATATCAAAGGTTAATCCTTAGAGAATTGAAGGTCCGAGATTCCAAGTCTTTAAGGCTCCACGGTTTCCTCATCTTGGGCGCCAATGCCACCCAGTCCACCTCCATTCTGGTCAGCATGTGGTGCAACAGGGAATCCGAGTTCGTCAAAAAGACTTTCCAAGGGAGCAGGAATCCAACTGCTGTGCAGTGGCCATGGTTCAGAAGTCCCTCTGCCAACCCATCGTGATTGATGAATCGTGGTTGGGTGTAGATCCTTAGAAATTGGGCTGGTAGTTGAGCATGTTGAAGGGAAGTAAAGGGGACCAAAATTGCATGTATCATCATGAATAAATCCAAATCTGACTAAGGATTACCAGGGGTCCGAACCAGCTCTGTCAACCCTTCTTTGATGTTCAATGGGATGAACTTGAGCAGGTTGATTGCAGCCGCTGATTCTTTTTCACCCAGAGAATATGCTTGGGCGAACGATACCACCGATTCATGAGCCTGGTTCAGGGATACCATACATAAACTCATTATAAGATGAAAGGAGTTTGAGGGTATTTTCATAATTTCTTATGCCCCCCACCGGCCTGCAATGACTTCACTGACATGTCCTGGGACATTCCCGCCCGCTCCAGGAACTGCAACTGGTGGAGCAAGTTGAAGGCATTGGGGCGGCGACGGAGCTGGCTGGCGAGTGCCACACCTTACCAAAACATGTTGTCATCAGGGGGTAGGTTGGGATCTACATGCTGCCGTTATGGGTGTTTATTTTTTTAATGCAGCTGGATGACCTCGATTGGTGTTGACAACAAGGCTGCTTTCAGACTGAACAGCAGTGGCATACACCGTCCGGAAGGACCTGAGGCAAACCAACCACATTCACTGTATCATAATGATGTTGTTTTTTAGAAAATGATGTTGATTCAAATTTTCTACAGCATTGTGATCAAACTCTGCCAGGGTACTGTCGCACTGGATCTGGCAACTCCTCCCAGGGAGAAAAGCAATCAATCTGAAATTCTAGAGAAGGTATTTTTTTAGCATTTGATAATTTGATATTGCATTTTTTGTCTGATGGTGGGAACCCCTCCTGGAGTAGTTCTGGGTTCTGGTAGCACGCGAACAAGATGCCAACAGCACACAGGGATCTATTCCATCCCTTCACGACAAACAGCTGTCCAGGCCCTGCCACGTTGGGATCCGAGAGGTCCGCCGCTGTCAGCTTCGTTGCTGGCTTGAAAAGCCATGCGCCCTGAACCAAACAGGTAACCACCTTTTCAACCCCTGGCTTATTTGGGTCTGTCTGAAGTCCATTCAGCAGCTGAAGTTGGCAAAGTTGGTGCTGAACTTCCTCGGTTATCATTCAAATGGAAAGAACAAATATGGGCAATTGTTGATTGGATTTGAATGGATCTTCACAGCACAAAAAAAATATATGTAACATAATGGTATTCAATCAAAGGGTCACTGTCACTCGTTCCACGGAGTCCATAGTCTACCCTGTGGGGTAGCATGTGTGGCCGAAGGAACAGCGATGCACCTTCTTGGCCAAGGTCCGCAGCAGAGCTGTACTTCCTGGGTGTGGGACAAGCGGATGGGGATCGAATATAAAAATTTTAAGGAAGGAACCCTAAGATCCTGACACGGTCGGTTCTGGAGGGAATTCAGTGTCAATCCAGTCGTAGAAGGCTTTCTCATCGTCCTCACAATACAAGATGAATGAGAATTCGTTGATCTGATACACTTGAAAATGGTTCATTTGGTCCTCATTTGACAACTTCTCCCCGAGGTAAACATCTAAGGTCTTGTTTGATCTGGTAAGGTTCTCTTGCCTTGGTGCCAGTCATTGAATGTCATTGAAGACTGGTGGAAGGTCATGGGAAGTTCAGTCAAAAAGGATCAAAAAAGGAGCAACCATATGGTATATTATAATAGTATATTATAATCAAGTTACACCCATGTGTCAAAGACCCGAATGTGCGGAAGCTGCAAAGCAGCGGGAGGGAGGCTTGGCATACCTCCACCATTCTTGGCTTTCTTGGCAGTGGCAGCAGCCCTTGCCTTTGTTGCCCCGGAGGCAGCACACGAAGAGGCACGCTTCGGCATCACCTGGCATGAGGCACGAGTGTGGGCTTTGTCAAAACGTGAATTATTGCATATTATGGCAAAACAAATTTTGGGAAGTTCCACAATGAATCACAAGTTTTTTTTTTGTGAATGATGGTTCATGCACAAAATGGACGACTTTTTCAACCACCCATTTTGTGACGGATCCCGACCCGATCATGCACAAAATCCCTGGAATTCCAAGGGGTCACATAGTTTTCAGGGGGTGGAGTTGCCAAACCCAAAGATCCAGGCTGATTTCCTAAGGTTTTGTGACGGATCCCGACCCGATCATGCACAAAACGAAGGGTTTGAGAAGGCACCCAATTTGTGAAGAATCCATCATGCACAAAACGACTGCTCTTTTTTTTCCAGCTCAGATTCGGATCGATTGAAAGCAAGAGATTCCCACTTGGAACCCCACGAGAGTTTGGCATCACAATGCGATGCATCATAAGGGACCAGGATTCCCCAAACAACGGCATGAGATATTGGTCACCTTGTTTTCACTGGGCCCCGCTGTTGCGATTTCCCCCGCACAGCTACTGATGCATTGACTCATCTACAGCTTCAGTAACGATTTGGATAGCCTGGGATATGTCAACCCCTTGCATCCACAACTGGGACGCTGCTCTGTAAAGCGCCTGTTGGCTGCGAGCTGTCCTGTACCTCCGAGCAACATCGCCGGATGGCTTTTCCCTCACCAACTTCAATCGGTTGGGTGCCTCACAGGCAAACTTGGAATGTTGGGTTATGTTGAGTTTCTTATGATGATGAACAATCATGAACAAACCAATGATGCCATTGAGTACATGGTCAGTGTAACAGCACTTAGTCTGAGACGGCTTCCAAGCACATCCCTTGCACCACGGGCGAGGCTGCTGACCCCCCCACGGCGGCTCCGTGCAGTGGCAGTGCCCTCAGGGAAATCAGCCGTGGGAGAACAAGTAAGTAACTGGATAACACAACGAAATTTAACATCTTTGTCCTTGGTATGTTTTGTAACCCCCAGACCAGCTTGTGTCAAGAAAAGTCGAGCCCACGAAACCATAGGACAGATCTTCCAGTTTTGCTGCAGCGCTGTGCATGCCGAATGGATCTTGACCTCAAGAATCTCAACAATAGCTAGTTGATTAGCTAGTTGAACTTTGGTTAATTTTATTGAATTTCTGTTTTGACACCATGCAAATGGAATCCACAAGTCTCAGGTCAGTACGCATCAACTTGGCATATTTCCGGTATGCCTTGTTCTCTTCCGATGAAGGGTTCACAGGGTTCTCCATAAAGACTGCGGCCAAAGTATGCCAAAGTGAGGTTTTCACGATCTATATCATAGAGAAAGGTTTCAACTTTTGAAGGAAATTGCATTGGAAGTTGCAATGCAGTTTGAAAGGCAGCTGTTTTGTCAATGACACTCACTGCCTGGCGGGCTGTCTCCTTGCGCTCGTCTTGCCACTGAGGCTGGCAAAAACAAGATGGCGGGGCGCCAAGTTGCATCACTCATCCATTGTTTTGTCCTGGACTGGCTGGGAAGGGAAAGGTCTTGATAAGACGCAAGCAAATTCAAAACAAACGGAGTGGTTAAACCTGTCCTCATGATGACATCCGATGGGCTTGGGCAATACCCTCTCTTATCCCAGAAACTGCAGTCCACTGACTCTCGTGGCAATCCTGCAAATCTCGTGGCAATCCAACAAAGATTTCACCAATGAACAGCTGCTTTTTTCTCATGGTTTGATCTGTGATGAATTATTTATACGTAATACTTTCGATCTCCTGTAGATCCAATCCGCTCCAGACGAATGGAGTGTGGAGCACCTGGGCCACCAATACCCTGAAGCTTCGCATGCTCGAAATGGTAGGAAAGCCAATTGGTCCTTAGGATCCATGAGGGGAGGCTCATTACAAGTGTTTGGGTTCATCAAAATTCCCATCACGGAAACAAAAGTATATTGACAAACACAAAATCATATTTGGAAAAATCTTGTAAGTAAGGGACTTAGGGTCTATTAATTATCATTCTGGTGGTTTCAAAGGTTTTTGTGGACATGAAGTCAAATGAGAATCCAGTCCTTGTACTGAGAAAGCATTTCAACATACCGCTGTGGCTCATTGGGACGGTTTCCAGGGCATTCGAAAAAAGACTCAAGGCAGGTCTTGAAGTCATCGGGGGTCCACAGTTCTCGTTTTTTTTCTAAATGGGCTCTCAGCAAAGAAAACAATGCATCCACATCCTCATGAGAATGTCCGGAGCTGAGGAAACTAATCTCAGCTCCGGCTATTTTGTGTAGACCCGTCCACATAGCCATGAGCCGTAATATTCCAACGTTTTTAACCTCCTTGGAAGCGTTGTCAGCTTGGAGATTGACCCAAACTGATCGAAAGTCCAGCTTGGCCGCCATCCTGCTGAGGCCTGCGCAAATGATTTCAGCTGTCCTGGAAGATCCGCATGTCACAAGGCTGGGTGAGAGTGCGACCAGGACCATATGTCCGTGGACAAGTAAGGTTGTTGATGTCAATCTAGGACGGTTAAAACTTGCAAATTCTTTACAAGCCATTGATCGACTTCTGGGCCAAGCATGTTTTTGAGCATCCATACTGTCTAAAATAGCAGTGACTTCAATCTCACCCAACATGGTTGCACCCAATCGGGATCTTGCCCGAGCAGCGTAGTAAACCTGTCTATCCTTTTGTTGGCGCTGCAAGTGCTTCTGCAACATAGCATGCTGTGCACGTCGAGCAGCTGGGCAATGTCCGAGTTTTTTTATAAGAAGTCTGTGTTTCAAACACAATGTGCATTTCGAATGGTGGGTAGAGAACCGAATACGTAACAAATGCTCAAAGTCTGACTGCCATACCTCGTTTGCAAAAATTCAAAGTTTACATTTAAATCAAGTTGTTTTTGTTTTTTCCCCCACATAGCAAAGCAGGAGACCAAAAATTGCTGTATGAAAGACTATGCATATGGAAAGTTCAACTGAGGGTCAGAACAAAACAACTTCCGGCCGATGTGGAGATCAGGGAATGAATCAGCGCATTGCTTCCAGTACTCATTGATGCTTGCATGTGGCAAATGCTTGAGTTGAGACCGATCAAGATCTGGAGCATCACGTTTGTTTGATCCACTTCGGGGCCGTTTATTGCTGTTCAGGCCATCGGGTATTGGTTCAGCTACTTCCATCCACAGGCTCGTGAGAAAAGAATGTACTGCCTCCCATTCCCGAGATGGAGCCTTCTGCTCTTTGATCATGTAGCGACCATCGTAGGGGCACTGCTGCTCACCATGACGAGCGGCAGAATTCAGGGTGGCAAATCTGTACTTCCCAAGTCCAAACAACTTTATGAAGGCTTTGTTACATACTGGTGCACCAAGATATAAGAGATGTCGAGAGCCTCTGCAAGAATCTTCGTCTTGGTCCTTGAGCAGCTTGAAGACCTGGGCTGAAAGTAAAATATAAAATTGTTTGCATGAGAAATAATGAAATGAAAACGGTTCTCATTCACCATCAAATTCTGTTTGACAAATTTGAAAAATCATAAGACCCAGACATAGTCATCTTTCTCAATTTTCTCCATCTTGGACATGATCTTTCGCTCTTTAAGCCACTTGTCCAGTCGATGGTCATGGTATCTGAATTGTGAAAAACAATCGGCTTTGCAACCACACTTCCCCTTGATAAGGTTGGCCAAAGCCTTTGGGTCGTCATTGGGACCACACATGCTCCCTGCAGATTTGACGATGCGGCCCCTGGCAGGCCGTTTGAGACGGCTCGGATGGTGCTGCTTGGGCCTTGGAGCTGTCACATCGTTCAGTGGCTCTTCGTCACTCAATGTGGCGATGGCCGTCAATGGTGCTGTCATCCTGCGTTGGGTTCGAGGGATCATGAATGCTGATGACATGACAATGCATCACTTTTCAATGCTTGTTTTATATGACTCTACAACTTTCCAAAAACTTTTGTTATTATTTAGTTTGGTCTCTATTTGACATATGCTGGATTTCAAGTGCTGTAGAAGCAAACAAACATCATTCAACTGGGACCAGCCTGTAAGTAAATCGAGCAGAGCACAATTAGCGTTGATTTCCTTCATCCAAGTACCACAATTTGATTGGGAAACCCCACCATGCACAGGCCTTTGTTCGCGCAGTGCAGTGGCTCACTCAGCTCGTGCAGAATCCTGGTGATGTGTTGGGGCAACTAGGGTGCAAATTAACCATCAAAACCTGAAAACTAGAGCCATGTTGATCTTGGAATGTATAAACTATCAACACTATCAATTGTACTCAGTCCTCCAAAAAGGAGCAGCGATGGCGGTCTCAACCCACCACCATGATGTCACTTGATAATCGAAGTCTTAGGTGAAGTCTTGTTGAACTGGTGATTGAGAACAGCCAGGACGATTGAAAATTGTTGGAATGTGCAGAGTCCAGATGGCACTCTTATTCATTCTTATTGTACTTCTTTCCTGGGTTATATAACTCATGAAATGAAATGAAATTAATAGAGTGAATAGACATGAATAGAAGGTCTAACGTGACTCACTGCTGCGTTTGTCAAGACATTCTGTCATTTTGTTTGGACAATCAACTTGAATGGCAGCGCAACATGGGTGTAAAAGTCATTGTGGTTCATTTGACAAATTCATACAAATTCTAAACACATGTGGAAACAAACAGGCAGGCATCACCTTCAGGCCCAAACGGGACCAACCAGCTCAAGCCGAGCACAATCGAGCACACTTGCAGCGGATGTTGAATAAATAGTAAATGGTAAACAAATGCTGTATTGACCCAAGAATGCAGCCAGTAACATCAGTCAGAAATCAACAACACCTTCCAGCAATGAAAAAAAACATGTCACCACAATTTCAGACCAGAGATTGATTGTACCATTTTTTCACTCCTCCTGACCCAAAGCCGACTTGAGGTCGCGTCCAGAATGGAATTAAGGTGCAGCACTAAGGCCAAAAGCTGGGAACGGTGCGGAAAAACACCAGTC